TGGTGTTATTTGGTCTGCCAAAGCCACCACTGGGCAGAGGAAGGACAAAGGGGCTATGACAGTGACCACTCCTGAGGTGTCTAAAAGAGGGACAGAGCTGCCTCAGGACAGCGTGGGGCCTGAACCCCAGAGCTCCAGGAAAGAGCTGCTCAGGGGAGCCGGGGAAGGGAGGGGGAAATCTGGCCCATCCCTCTCATGGGTCCAGGAACTACAAAATTCAACAGATAGTAATTTGCCTGGGCTCAGCCCCTTCTCGTTGGCTCAGAGGAGTAGAGAAATCATGGGTTCTCAGGATGGGACTGCCCCAGGATCCTGCAAGGCCATCCTGGTCTGTGCCCCGGAAAATGGTAAACCCTAGTGGCCACAGTGCAGCCCGTGGGAGAATGCATTGCAGTGTAGTTTACTTTTGTGTGTGTGTGTGTGGGGGTGGGGTGGGGGGACTCGTGGCACCTAGTCCATCAGTGTGGAAGCTGCTAGGGAACAAGGGACAGACAGCTCCACAGCAGCATGTATAAATCTAACAATGGGGCAAGTGGAAAAAAAAAAAAGAGTAAGATTCTTAGTATAGTCCCATCCATATATGCATATGAAACTGTACGTATTTTTTTTTTTAAGGTACACACATCCAAGGGCTTACACTAAACACCAGAGTGGTGGCTGCCTGGGCAGGGGATGGGGGTGAATGGGAGTATAGAGTGGCAGTTGGGGAAGCTGGGGATGAGGCAGAAAAGAGAAGGGGCTTTCAAGGTCCAGGGATGACCCCATGCCTTGAACTGGCACATCTGAAGGACCCGGCTTGGCACCCAGCAGGGAGGAGGGACAAGGCACCAGTGCAAAGGAGACTGTTGTGATCACGCCCAGAGCCTTAAGAAATCTAGCTGCCTGGAGGCCACTCCCAGAGGTTCCGATTGAACTGGTCTGGAGCAGCCTGCTAGGTGGGGCTTCCAGAGCTTCCCAGGGGATCACCATGTGCCGCCCCAGCTGAGAACCACTGAACTAAAGACATGGATGCACCTGGGTCCTAATCCTGCCTTTGCCACTCACAAGCCTGGTTTTCTTAGGCAAGTTACTTCCTTTCTCTGAGTCCTGAATTCTTTATATCTAAATGGGGTGAAATCACCCTGTCTTGAGGAAAGAGTGAGAATGTCAAGAGACAAGGCACACCAGGGTCTGGCCACATAGATGTAGCTTTCTCTGCTGCAGTTGGGACCGCCCCCCCCCCCCCCCCCCCCCCCCCCCCCCCCCCCCCCCCCCCAGAGGCTGGGCTAGGACCATAATTCCATCAAGTAAATGAAATACGTGAAGCCTGTGAAGGCTTTTTATTTCTCAGACTTCACTTTAGCTCAAGTTNGAAATCACCCTGTCTTGAGGAAAGAGTGAGAATGTCAAGAGACAAGGCACACCAGGGTCTGGCCACATAGATGTAGCTTTCTCTGCTGCAGTTGGGCCCCCCCCCCCCCCCCCAGACCCCACCTCCCACCCTACACCCTTGCAGAAAGAGGCTGGGCTAGGACCATAATTCCATCAAGTAAATGAAATACGTGAAGCCTGTGAAGGCTTTTTATTTCTCAGACTTCACTTTAGCTCAAGTTCCAGGGCAAATAAAGGGTACCCCTACCTCACAAGACAGGGAGAATGCTTCACAGATGCGGGTTGCCAGATGAAATACGGGATGCCCGGGGACATTCAAATTTCAGAAAAACACATTCCTCTTAAAGTGTGTCCCAAATACTGCATGGGACATACTTGTACTAAAAAATTATTGTTCTCATATTCAAATGTAAGGAGTTGTCCTGTATTTTTATTTGTTCAAGCTGACAACCTTACTCAATGACCTTGTGTTTGTTAGTTTTCAGTCTGGTGGGGTCTGAGGTGAGGGGTCCCTATTTCTGGAGTTTTCCAGCCAACAGTCTCTAAGGGAATTATGGCCCCTACTTGTTCCTTGTGAGGAAAAGGGAATCAGAAGGTTCTGGATCACACAAACACTGGCCCCCTTGTATTTATCCACTCGGTTCCTTAGACACCACCATTAGAAAGCCCAGTTCACCCGAGAATTGGGAGAGGGAGATCCCACTTATGGTGGAATTTCTGTCCTTCTGTTGGCCTCCCTTCATGCTGGCAGCAGCAGGGCACCTGTCGCCTGAACCCCAGCCATAAATCATGGAAGCTTAGCCGTCTTATTTTTATTATAACTATTTTTTTCTGATCATGAACCATAGGCAACTTTGGTGGTGGTGGGGGGTGGATGGAGATCACCCATAATCCCTTTACCCAGATGTACCCAATGTCAATCTGCTCTCCCCACTAAGGAAACATTCAGCTTTGAGCACATGCCAGAAACATCCCTGTGATCTCCTATAACCTTCACAAAGAAAAATAACTTGACTTCCTTTTCTGATTGTAAAAGAACCGTGAGCTCTACACACACACACACACACACTTTTTTTTAAAGGTAATTAATAGAGGTAAAAAAATGAGATCCACCTGGTGTCCCAGCACTCAGAGATAGAATTCCTTCGAATCTCACTTGTAAACCTGGCCCTGTGGCACTTGTCGACAGGTGCTTCCTGTCAGCCAGCACATCTCAGGCACTGCCTGAAGATCAGGAGATAGGCTCAAGTCTACCATGTTACACCAGTGTTCCAGGGGGCGCTCTCCTTTTCCTCCAAGGGGCTTGAGGCATCCAAGGAGGCTCACTAACCGTTTGCTAAGTGAATAGGCGGATGAGGGAGGAGTCCAGGACTCCTCACAGGTTTATTCGGATTCACCAAGTCATCAAAGGCTGCTTCCAGTGTGTATTTTCAAAAAACCCCAAGCCACTTACGTTGATGATAGGGTGGCTGGGATTTCTTGGCTGTTCCCTCAACACACAGGCTTTGTGTGGGAGCAGGTGAATGAGGGGTGATTGTTTCCCTGCTCTGTAGGCATAAAGAGCTCTGAAAAAGAGTGGCGGGAGATCCAGGAGGCTTTAGAAATCTACATCTCCTGGAGGTGAATTGCAGGACCTTCCTTGGAAAAGAGTGTGGGGGCACATGGGTAAAATGCCCAGGTAAGGTCCCCGCTTACAGGGTGGTTAGCTATTCATAGTCTGGTCTGCATATGCCTGGAATTCAGATGTGTGCTTTCCCCTACATGGAAATGGGCAGAGATTTCTTAAGTATCTATTATGTGCCAGGCACTGTACTGTACCCCTGTCATATATCATGTCATCCTGCCAACAATGCCATGAGGCGGGTGCTACCATGAACCTTTCTTATAGATGAAACTGAAGCACACAGAGGTTCAGTCACCTGGCCAAGCCCACACAGCTGGCACGTTGAGATCCAGGCATAGAACAGAGCTCTGTGTGATTCCCAACCCTTGCTTCTTTTTTTTTTTTTTTAAGGTTATTTATTTAGAGAGAAAGAGCGCTCATGCACACACAAGCAGATGAATAGCAGGCAGAGAGAATCCCAAGCAGGCTCCATGCTGTCAGCAGAGCCCGATGTAGGGTTTGATCTCACAAACCATGAGATCATGACCTGAGATGCATTCAAGAGTCAGACACAACCGGCTGAGCCACCCAGGCACCCCCCAACCCTATCCTCTTAATCATTCAGAAGGTCTGCCTCCTTCCTTCTTGGGAAGGAGGACACAGCCGGCATGCATGCATTTTCCCTCCTTGCCCGATGGTGGTATGGGTGGAAGTGGTGGGCGAGGAGCCCAGGCCAGAGTTCTCCTTTAGGGGGCAAGGCAGGAAAGCCAGAAACAGCCCAGACATTCAGATACACCACTGTGGTACAACTATACCACGGAATCCTACTCGGCAATTAAAAAGGCACAAATTACCGATTTACACGGCAACAACAGAGATGAATCTCACAAATACTGTGCTGCAGAAAAGAAGCCAGGCAGAAATGCATATATACTGCATGATTCCATTTATATGAAGTTCCAGAATAAGTGCAACTAATCTATGGTGAAAAGCCAGAACACTGGCTGCTTCCAAGAGAGGGAACTTTCTTGGGTCATGGGCGGGTGTGTGAGCCTGTCAAAACTCAAACTTTAGATTTGTGCATTCACTGTAAGTCAGTGACACATAGAGCTATGTCCAGATTCTCTCAGAAAACTGATCTCCCTTTCCCGCCCCAGAAACCAAGGCTGGGCTGGCTCACGTGTAACCTGTGAGTTCAAGAGCTAAGGTCACAAATAGAAAGCAGGTCAGTGGTCTCCAGGGGCTGGAGGCAGGGGAGAATGAGGAATGACAGCTTAATGGATAGGACTCCCCTTGGGGTGATGAAAATGGTCTGGAACCAGAGGAGATGGCTACCAACTGAGTGCCACTGAATTGTACATTTTTAAATGGTTACTTTGACGTTACGTGACTTTTACATCATTTTAAAAGGAAAAAAGGAAAAAGAAAAGTCTCAAGGTAAGGGCTTCTACACCCATGAATTCTCACCACCAGGATTTCAGCATTAGTGGCTGCCTCCACGGTGGACCTTGAGCCCCTTAGCAGTGGACGCTGTAGATATGTGAAGACTGGGCCATAAACCTGATTGCTGAGTAAGTGGATGTGTGAATGACTGAGTGCATGAATGAGTGAGCAAATACATGCATAAGTGAGTGAATGACTGAGTGAGCAAATGAACAGGGGAGACAAGGAATTAGGAAAGGAACGGATAAGAAAATGAGTGCGTGAAGGAGCAAGTACGTGATGAAGGAGTATGAATGAACCTGGACCAGGACATGGACTCTGGACCCAACCCGTGTGGGTTCCAGGCCTGGCTTTGCAACGCAAGTTATTTAACCTCTCCGTGCCTCAGTTTTCTTGTCTGTAAAATGAGGATGGTGGGTTGTGGTAAAAAATTAAAATAAAATAAAATAAAATAAATAACGCGTGAAAATGTGTAAACTGCTTAGAACAAGGCTTGGCAAAGGGAGCCCTTCGTGTTTGAGAATATGAAAGAAATCCACAGCCATGCACAGAGAATTACTGCTCGGTCCGGACCGTGACCTACCGAGGAGCTGCACTTCGTCGGTGATGCCGTAGACGTCGATGAGCGCCCAGAGCGGGCCGCCCACGGCCACACCGCAGTGGAAGAGCACCGGCTCGCCGTCGTTGACGCTGTAGAACACGCGGCCGTGACGGTCCGCCCAGTAGGCCAGCACGGTGTCGCGCAACGCCAGGTTCTCGGGCAGCGCCTTGGCCCAGTAGCCAGGCCGCGTGACAAGGTCAGGGCAGGCGTACTTGGGGATGTCCTGGGCGCTCATGAGCGATGGGTCGTGCGCCGTGAAGCCAAAGCGCAGCGCACCGCTCCAGCCGGGGCGCACTGCCACCAAGCGCAGCCGCACCTGCTCGTACAGTCGGATGGGCCGCTGCGTGAACGTGACGCCATTGCAGAAGCTGTTACGCCGGGTGGCCCGCCGCGAGTGGCCATCTAGGCGCACGTTCTTGCCCTTGGCCTGCGCGTGGAAGCGCGGCGCTTCGCCCAGGACTGGGCGCCTCTCGGGCCCCGGGACGCAGCACGGGCGGGTGGCCAGAAGGCGTGCCGGCGGACTCGGGTCTGCGGGAAGAGACGGGCAGCAGGGTTAGGGCCCCTCAGAACTTCACGGCCCCAATTCGACTTTCAATAATCATTTACATTTTAAAGTCTATCTTAATTAGGCTGGTAATTGATAAACTTTGGGAAGGTTCCAGCTACCGCCAGCCTGCCCACGACTATCACCACAATGTCGCTATACCCACCTCACCGATGAGCAAATTTAGGCTTAGGGTGTATGTGTGTAGTGAAAACCTTTTCAGAGCTGTTTCATTCCCAGTGGGGCCAACACTAACGAATGTGCCACAACCACCAGGCTAGGGTCAAATGACTTCTCCATCCCTGTCAAATCTTTGCAAATCTAGAAGCTTCCTCCAAGGGCCACTTTGGGGGCTGTGGAGTCCTTCCAAAGGCAACTGGGGTCTTAGGTTCTTGGGGGAGTGGTGGGAGTCTGACTACTTTTCTCTGTGGGAATTTTGTTCAAAAGCAAAAAGGCAGAATAGGCGACAGAAAGAAGGCAGTCTTGGATCGATCCCCTGACGCTGGAATGAAAGGCAGTGTAGAGTGCAGCCTGGAATCCCAGCTCCCTAAGCGCTTCCTAGCTGTGTGATCTGCACTAGACCTTGTCACTTCTTTTTTTTTTTTTTTTATTTCTAGGAGAGAGAGAAAGACAGCACGAGCAGGGGAGGGTCAGAGAGAGAGGGAGTCACAGACTGAAACAGGCTCCAGGCTCCGAGCTGGCAGTCTGCACAGAGCTCGACGCGGGGCTCGAACCCACGAACCACGAGATCATGACCTAAGCGAAAGTCGGACGCTTAACCGACTAAGCCACCCAGGCGCCCCTAGACCTTGTCACTTCTTTAGCCTGTTCCTTTGCCTGTGAAATGGGGACATTGTTTAACCCACACAGCTGCTGAAAGATGAGGTTGAAGTTTCTAGAATACTGGCTGGCACAGTGTGATAATATCATGATACTGAGGCTCCAAATGAAACTCCAGCCAGGATTCTGTGACTTCCCCTCCCATTTACCCACAGAAAAGGAAGGCATTCTTTATAAACAAGGTTAGCTTTTCTAGAACATGCACCTTTCAAGATTCATTTCTAAGGGAAATTTGCCCAAAGAACCTGGAGGATCTTGGGAAGGTCTCTTTTCAAAAGAGCTGGTTGCTGGCCACAAACCCAGGTGGCTTAGTATTGAGGTGGGGGCTTCATCCCTCCCACCTGTCTTCCATCCCCAGGGCAGTTCCTGAGAGGATCTGGAAGCCTGGGAGGCGGCGGGGTGGGTAATTACTGCACGAGTCTCTGCCGCTCATTCACAACAGCAGCTGAGTACAATTTTCATGGCAAGTGCTCATAAATTGCCGGCAAGCCCAGCAGCCCCAGCACACAATGGCCTGTAGAGGTGGGAGGAAAATGGCCGTCTCTAGGAACGGGAGGCCGCTGCAGGGACCAGTCGTCCTGTACCCACCCACAGGCTTAACTGTGCTCTGGGCATCTTGCTGGGTGTTCATTAATACTTAGCCTAGTGGGAGTGAGGACTGGGGAAAATGAAGAGGGAGAGGCAATGATGAGGCAGGCAAAGCTGTGGCTCCCCTCCCCAAGCCTGTGGGGAGGGACCCCCCCCACCCAGTCACGGAGGTAGAAAGACATGCTGGGAAGCTGGAGGCCCCTCTCCAAACAGAAGCCACAGACCCCCAGAAGACAGAGAACAAGGCATGAAGCCAAGGTCCTGCATATGGGGAAAGAAAAAAACTTAAGAGACTTTAATTCATTTAACAAATGTTTAGTGAGCACCTCCTATGTGTCAGGCACCATGCTAGGCACTGGAAATATGACAGTTACCAAGAGGGATAAGGTTCCCACTCTGATGGAATGGGCATTCTGGGGGGTTGGGGCAAAGGTGGGCAACAAGGAAAACTTACTCTACCTGGGGCGGGGGGAGGGGGGAATGCATTAGAGAAAAATGTAGTCCAAGACATGGGGAAGAAAGAAGCAGTAGCATTTCCACGAGGGCCTCTTTGATGAGTGACTTTTGAGCAGAGAGGAAGGGAGTGAGCCTTGAGGGTATCTCATTCCGGGCAGGAAGAGCATTCCAGCAACATAATGCAGAGACCCCGGGGTAGGAACGTGCTGGTGTGGCTGGGAAGCAGCAAGGAAGCCAGCTGGGATGGTGTGAGCATGTGGGGGAGGTGAGAGCAAGTGAGAGCAGAGCGGTAGCCACGAGGGGGTGGCAGGTGGGGAGGGGATCCGTGGTTGCCGCTTTAAATTGACTTCGTCTGAACAAGAGGGACATTGTTGGAGGTTCAGAGCAGAAACGTGAGCCTGCTAGGCTGCTGGGCAGAGAGGGGATTGCGGCAGGGGGCGGGCGGGGAAGCTGGGGCCTGGGGAGGACAAAGGCGACTGGATTATTCCAGGCAGAGATGATGATGGCTGAGATCGGGAGGTGGGGACGTACTTGTAAAGGCTGGCGAGAAGGGGTCAGATTCTGGATGTCTTGGAAAGTAGTAGAGTTTTGAGGTCTTAATGAGGAGAAACCTTCAATATACTTGCTTTGCATGTTGAAAACATATTCAATAAATAAGACCAGAAGGGGAAGCAGAGAGGTGGTAAAGAGGGAGAGGGAGATACCGAGGTTGGATCTGGGAGGGCAGGGGCTTTTCCAGCTCATCTTTGATCCACACCCCCGCCCCGTGCTCAGCAAAGCCCTGGCACATTACCAGGTCCTTGCTAAATGCCAACTGTTGCCTCTATTCTGTTAGAGCTAGAGCAGGCCTCAGAAATCATCTCTGAGAAGCCCATCTTACAGGTGGGGAAATGGGCCCAAAGAGGGAGAGGGGTCTGCCAAGCTCAAGGTCAGTAGGGGTCTCGGCAGGCCACCTCTGATAAAGGAAACAACGTCACACAGGTTACTTCTACCCAAGGAGGCTAAGGCGAGCCCTCTTTTGCTTATAAGCCAGGCTGGCTTGGGTTCTCCTATTTGCAATCCAAACTTCCTTGATTGATAGGAGTCCCTCGGTAACCTTGAGTGGGACATGAAGGAAAGGGAGCTGTGAAGGGCTTCCGGCAGAGCAGCGCAGCTAGGGAGGTGCCCCCCAGGCAGTGAGGAGGGTGGCCCCGGCGCCAGACTGTGGGTCCTCTCCGGGTCCACAAGGATGAGCGCGAGGGCCCACTGGAGAGCTACTTTGGAGGACACAAGTGAGACCAGGGAAATGCCCAGGTGTAAGCCACCCGGAGAGGCAGCCTGGGGACCCCGAGCCTGCGTTCTCCACGCGTGCGGTAGGCTCGTGTGAGCCACTCGGCTCCTCTGGGCTGCAGCTTCCTGCACTGCCCACAGGCCGAATTCTCCCCCACGGTCCCCCCAGAAGGCAAACTCCCCACGAACCATTCAGCAGGACCACAGCTCAAAAGCCCTTCGGAGCACCAAAGACCACAAGCCGCCGTTAAGTGATTGTTTTTCCTCTGACATCACTTTGGTTTTCCCAGCCTTCTCTCTTAATCGGAGAGCTTCTTTACAAAACAGCTTGGGAGTCCTTAGGTAGATGATCTGTCGGAGTGGCCTAGGGGTTGAAATGAACGCCGGCCTGGGGGACACACTGCTTTGTTACTACAACGGGAAGTTTCCTGTAAAACCAGCTATCTGTTAGGATGAAATATAGCCAAGCGACCAGCGAGGTTTACAGACTTGTTGAGTCTTGGTCATATGATCCAGTTTCCTTCAGGGAGTGAGGGATACACAGTTTCTAGCCCCTTGAGGCCAGTGCCCTGATGTGAGGCAAAAAGACCAGACTGCAAAAGCGTCTAGAGGCTGCGTTACTTACACAAATAGAAGATGCTTAAGACGAAAGAACAATAATAAGCGATCTCCAAATCGTACACCAACATCTGCTGTTAGGTTGGCTGGGGGAAAGTGGCTTCCAGGAGAAACAGGAAAACGCCAGTGCGGACCCCAAGGGCCCTGCAGAACATCCCAGTTCAGAGAGGTCACCCGAGCACCTGAAGTTTATCACTTTAATTACCGCAGTAAACCCCACGACCACATTACGGGAAGCTTGGCAGGGATGAGAAGAACCCCTCCCTTCTCCCTGCCTTCACATCCTAACTCCCACGGCATTTTTCATCCGCCCTGCCCGGCCCTTATCCACGTAAGGACCATTGACTGTGCCCTCCCTGTGTGCTGTGCCCTGTGCCAGATGTTTTTCATTTGGGCTTGTGGCTAATTCTCCAAATGAGTCTTCACCTGCAGAATTTTCTAGGTGAAAAACAAAGCTCCAGGCAGTGGAGACACTTCCCTTGGCTGCAAGAAGCAGTGTTGAGGTGTAAACCCAGCAATGTCTGACCCCAAGCTAGCGTTCCTTCCTCCTGTCCCAGCTTTCTTCTGTAAGCGGTGCAGAAGTACTGAGTTCTGAGTAGTACTGAGCACCTTTTCCACGTTCGTTGCAGTCAGAGCCCCCATCCCGTTTCGCTTCCTGCCTTCCCTTTTCTAACTCAGTGTTACATAAAGAGCATTTTCTCCACATGGCTCTCGAGCATTGCACAGTGCTTATGTTTCATGGCTGCAGAATATTCCATTGAGGGCCAAAATGTCCCCGACTGTTCCCCTCCTGGGGATCACTTCAGCTGTTCCCCCAAATGGCTGAATCTGTGGGCACAGAGGTTCCTAGCTGCTGGTGCCAGGACCAGATTTGAATGGGCACACTGTCGCTGCTGAGAAACCCTTCTGCCAGGACGAGGCCCCCTGCCCCCTTCCTTCCACGGAAGGCTGAGTACCCGCCAGCTTGTGAGGGTGCCACTGCTGGCCAGCGAGCCCCCGCTTCTTCTGGCCAGAAATCAGACCCGGGGACTCGAAGGACAAGGCAGGGCAGAGGGAGTCTTCTGAGTGGGAGCCCAGGAGACCGCTGTAGCAGCCCATCCCGTGCGTAGGAGGGAGCAGGAAATGGTCCTGGCCCAGCCTCACAGTTGACCCAAGGCTGTTCCAGCCCCTCCAAGATCAGAGGGGAGGGTCTTGCTGGCGTTTCATCACGGAAGCAAGGCCTGGACTTTAAATGTATGGGCAGACATTTGGGTGTGGGTGGGCACTGAGGGGCTATAGATGGTTAGGGAGGCTGGGACTCTATTCCTTTCTTTCTTCTTTTTTTTTTTTTTTACATTTATTTTTGAGAAAGAGATAGAGAGTATGAGCGGGGGAGGGGGCAGAGACAGAGGGCGACAGAATCTGAAGCAGGCTCCAGTCTCTGGAGCTGTCAGCACAAAGGCTGATGCGGGACTAGAACCCACGAACCGTGAGTTCATGACCTGAGCCAAAGTCGTATGCTTAACTAACTGAGCCACCCAGGTGCCCTGGATGGGACTCTATTCTGATTACATAAATGCTGCCACCACCTAGCCTTGGATGAGTCCTTCGGTGAGACAGTGGGGGACAGAAGAGCAGTTCTGGTGGTGGCTATGTGGTCCTCCCGCATCAGCGCTTTAGAACGCCCCTCGTGGGCTCTGAGTTCGAGCCTATGCTTTGTGGCTCAGTCGCCTCCCAGCGCTGCAGGTTTTCATCTGGAATGGTGTGTGGCCTCGGGTTGCTGAGGGGCCGTGGGAGCACAGAGAGAGCCCAGCACGAATCCCAACACACAGCAGATGATCGCTAAACATTCCTTTCCTTGCCGGTGGGAAGCAGCAGACACAACCCCTGGGTGAGCCCTCACCTCCGGCTCTCCAGAGTTTTATTTTCTAACTCTCAGTTGGAGAGGTCATGATAAAAGAACACAGGCTTGCAGTCAGACAGATCCTGGGTTTCAATCCTGTTCTGTCATTTCCCAGCTGTGTGACAGGAAGGTCCATGCTTGCTTTCTCTGGGTCTCCCCAAGCAGCCCTAGAGAACTGGGGTGAGTCCTGGCCGCCCTGCGGGACTGCTGTAAAGGCGTGGCGCCCAGGAGGTGGTCACTAAACACCCGGTCCTTCCAGCCACCTCCCTTCCTTCCTTTGACACGAAAAGGTTTCTGGCGGCCTCTGACCTCAGAGACCTCTACCTGGGGGTCTGGGGAAATACCGCTGGACACGTTTCTCCATGGCGGGCTAGTGGTGACCCTGGCCAGGAAAGGCCTCTTGAAATCCCCGGGGTCACCCTCCCCTGGTGTCCAAGGGCAGAGGCCCATCTTTAAGCCATCCCAGCGGCGTCCACAGTGTGCACTGGGTCGCCCCCTGAGTGCTCCCTGCTCGTTGCCCCAGCCCAGCCTCTCCATTGATCTAAAAGGAGCCCCAGCAAATGGCCTCTGCCGCCAGGAGGACGGCAGGAAGCAACACTCCGTCTTCTCTGGCCCCCGAGATGACAGCTTCCAGCGTGCTGGCGTACAACAGATGGCCTTCTGGCTGAAACTGTCAGCAGATTCCGTTCCGCAGGGAAAGGGAATCGCCAGCCGGGAGAGCGGTCTCTTCTGTACCCCGCCTTTCGCAAGCAGCCTTTTGCTGAGCCCCCGTTACGTGCCGGCACGTGCCTCTGTTTATTTCATTGGTTTTACCACCTTCAGTTTCCAGAGGAGGAAAGGGAAGCCACCAGGCTGGGCCAGGCTTGGGCCCTCCCTCCCTCCCACAGCCCACCCCTTCTCCAGGGCAGTCCCCTGTGACCGTTGGGACTTGGCTCTTGTTAAGGGCGACAAAAACTGTATGGGCCTCCATCCCCCCCAAAAACACCCACCCTCCGTGCACACAATTTGGCATGCAATTTCAGGGGCTTCCTGTACACACATGACCTCTAACCTCAGACCGAGTACCTCCAGCGAGAAGTCTCTGGTTCAAGTGACATTTGGCCAGGTCCACAATTTAAACCAATGCTGTTGGCTGTCAGAGGCAACATGGTGCGTAAGTGCGTGTCAGCGTGTGATTTCGAGAGGGAAAGGCAAGGCTGGTATTTGGCAAGGCTTCCCTCCACCCAAGGCAGGGTGAGAATATCAGCCGTCTTTGGCAACAGGAAGTACCTTTGTCATTGGTGGGTTTGAAAGTGGACTAGAAAAAAAAAAAAAACAAAACCAGCCTCCCCTCACCTCTGCCAAATGGGGCAGTGACATGAGCCCAGGAGACAGACGCCGGTGTAATGGGACTTTGTTCTGTGTTTCAGAGGCCTGGGAGGCCAGCGCCCAGGATGGAAGGCGGCCAGCTCACATGGGAAACCGCCACCCTGCTCCTCCCCTCCCTTCTTTGCAAATAAAACCCGGTCACCCCAGTGCAGCCGGGAAGGTCCCACACTCCTGTCAACAGCTGCAAGGAGGCTGGGGAGGGGAGGGAGGCCGGAGGTCAGGCGACACCACTGGTCGGGAGAAAAGCCCACTCCTTCCGGGCCTAAGTGGCAGCCCTCTTCGCTGAAGTGGGCTCAGATGCGCCGAGTTCCCAGGAGCTGAGGTCATCCCAACTCCCCCTCCTGTGCTCAGTGGGGTCAAGATCTCCCAGTCCATTCTGACCCTCTCTGCTGGGCCTCTGCACTGGGGTCTCTTCCTGATAAACTGCCCCAGGAAACTCCGACCTTAGACGTGCCAGCTCCCACAGTTAGGGCCCAGAGTGGGGGATGTGCCCTCATTCTTTCCCAAGTACATCACTTCCTCCTTCATCTGACATTTATGGAGCATGCGCCCCATGCCAGGGCCTGCCCTGCTGCAGGGACACATGCACTGACAAGCCACCGTAGTCCCTGCCCTGCCCTGTAGCTGAGAGACCAGCAGGGGGACAGACGGACACAGACGCCAGGACAGCACGGGGTGGGTGGTAGGGAGGGCGGGGGCCACGGGGATACATCTCAGAGGAGCCACTCTGCAGACTGAGGCAGAAATGGCTGGGAGGATGAAGGGATAGGGAAGTGTGTTTGATGCAGAGGGAATAGCACAGGCAAAGGCCTGGAAGTGAGGAGGAGTGGAATGCACTTAAGGAACTATAAGGAGTGTAGAGCAGAAGGGAGCAGAGAGAGGCTGGAGGAGGGAGTCAGGGGCTGCATCACAAAAGGTCTTAAAGGCCGTGATGAGGGGGTTAAATTCTTCAGGGGACCACGGAAGTGTCTGGAGCTGGTAGGAAACCCCTAAGGATCCAGCTTCTCTCCAAATAACTCCTTCTCTCCAAAGAAGGAGATTCAGGCCCAGTTTCTTCCCATAGAAACTGTCCCTGTGTCTCTTCCTGCCTATCAGAACGACCCAGCATAGCGGGAGTAAGAAAACAGCCTGGGTTTCAAATCTTGCTTCCAACTGCTGGGACGGTCTTGCCCCTCGGCACCTGCTCCTCCAGCCCCTGGCAGCTGCCTGCTGATAAGCTGGCTGAGTCTGCCAACTTTTCTCCTTCTCTGCCTGGAGGGCGGCCACTCCCCTGGCCCGGGCGGAGCCCAGAAGCCTGACTGCTCACTAACCTGCAGGGCCCCATCCTGACTTTGTGCGGTAGTAGATCCACGGGTCCTGCTTCTCAGGGCCAACGCCACGCTGGAGAAGGAGGACGCTCTCCTTGAACCACGCCGTCCTGGCTCCCGGAGCTGAAGGCATGTTCTTCGCCAGCCCCGCTGCTGGGCAAGGTCTGCCGGCTCCGGGGGGGCGGAGAGCCCAGCTCTGGTGCAGGGAATGTGTGCCACGTGCTTGCCATGCGGCCCATCCACCCCTCACCGCCTCCTGCCAGGTGGCTTCCAGATGAGGAAACCGAGGCCCAGAGGGGCGCACATCCTTATGGAGGCCACCCAGCCTGTGAGGGCAGCGTCTGTTTCCAGATCTGGTCCTGTCTGATGCCAAAGGCTGCATCTTTCCTGGCTGATGCCTCACTCCACCCCAAGGTCTCTCACTTCCCTCTGGACAGGCCAGAAAAAAAAAAAAAAAAAAAAGCTAGACTGTGTGCAAGCAGCTTGAGCCACCTTCTGGGAAAGAAGTGTAGCGACGCCCTGGCTTGGTCTCAGGGAGGAAGTGGGGGGGGAGGTGGTGGCTATCATCAATCAGCTTGTTTTGAGCTGCTCAAAGGCCACAGTTTGGCGGAACTTGAGATGAACAATAAGCAGCATCTAAAAAAGGAAAGCGGGTGACTGATTACAGCGGGGCAGGGAGGGAGCCCCCGTGCCTGATGTCCCCAAGGCCTGCAAAAGGAATTGGGGGTGGGACCTGATCAGAGAGACAGACCTCCCAGGGGGCGATATGGAGACTGAAACTTGTCCTACACTCACCAGACCCCCTATGATCCTTCTGGGTGAGGTGACTGCCAGTGAGGCAGGGAGGCTCAGAGAGGTCGGGACAGCTGCCCAAGGCCACTCAGCCAGACCGTGGTGGAGTTAGCATTTGAACCCATGCTAGCCTGGCTCACAAGGCTAGGAAGAAGATGCTGGGGCTGCTTCAGTCAAGGTGTAGAAGGCATCCCTGTGGAGAAGGAGCAGAGCACAGTGCCTGGTGCACAGTGTGTCCTCAACGAATGTTTCCTTCCCTGCCATGTTGGACTCTGAGGCTCACCAAGAAGTGACTCTGGAGTGTGCCCCTCCCACTCTGCTTCTTTGTCTGAAGATCCAGCTGCCACTTTTCCCTCCACCTCCTCCATCATGCTGACCATCCTACAAATCCCCGAGGGCTCATGGGAGGAGGTGGGTGAGGACTGAGGATACTGCAGGAAGCCTGCATGGTTCCAGAAAACAGCTGGGTCAGGATTCCACTCAGATGGGAATCCAAAATCTATGGGTGCCCTTGGCCGTTACACAGAATTGCTTCTCTAGCCAACCAGTGGGTGCATCAGTGATCTGTCAGAGGGACCTGAGCGGAGCAGGACTATTGGACTATTGTGTCTATTGTTCCTTCCCCCCACCCCCAATCAATTTCAGGAGTGCAGACTCCTTTCCTTTCAAGGAGACTCCCCACAAGGAGACTTGTGCTGGGCTCAGACTTCTCACGCAGTTCCCTATTTATACCTCATTGCCAGCCTATGAGGGAGGTAGCATCATTATCCCCATTTTGTTTTTAAAAATGTTTTAATGTTTTTTATTTAGTTTTGAGACAGAGACAGAGAGTGAGCGGGGGAGGGGCAGAGGGAGAGGGAGACACAGAATCCGAAGACCAGCTTCAGGCTCTGATCTGTCAGCACAGAGCCCGACGCGGGGCTCAAACTCACAAGCAGTGAGATCATGACATGGGCCGAAGTCGGACACCCAACTGACTGAGCCGCCCAGGTGCCCCTTCGTTATCCCACCTTAAAGCTGAGGAAATGGAGGCTCAGAGAGGGAAATGACTTGCCCAGGGTGACACAGGTTAGGTGAATAGAACTGTTTGAACTCAGGACTGCCTCTAAAACCAGCGCTCTTTGCACCACCTCTCTTGGGATTCCAGTCAAAGACCTCGAATGTAATTGCTGTGTGACCCTGCACTCTGGTCCCTGGGGTCCCCATCTGCCAAGTAGGAAGTAGGCTCCAAGCACTCTCTGGTCCTAGCAACAGTCCCTGGGAGACTTATCTGCAGGGATGAAGGTCTGGGCCATCCTCAGAGTGAGGGAAATTCCGCTCTCCGTCTCCTGACCTTGAATCGCCCCCAAACCTTGAGGGGAGGGGAAGGGAAGCTCTTGTGTGAAGTGGAAAGTTACCAAGCAGACCCAACTCTGGAGACACAGGGGATGTCATGTGCCCACCTATCTCTTAAATCCATGATCCTTGGGGGGAAGAGGAAAGAAAACGGGTTCCCAAGGGATAGAATTGTAATGTAAACAATGTGTAATGTTGCGGACGTAAACAGAATACACTTGTTAATAGCTGTGGGCATCCTGCCAAGTGCCAATCCTGCCCCAGATACCCCCACCTCACCCATTTCCCCAAATGGCTTACTCATAAAAGAACTTTCTCCCCACCGCCCAGAGGTGAGGCCAGAGGCCAGCTGAGCCCCGGTAGTAGGAATGAAGAGAGACAAACAAGGGTGAGCTGGGACTGGTGTCCAAGGACGGCGGTCCTGAACCCCGCTCAGAAATACCTGTCACTGAGTCTGCAAACATGCTGAGGCTGGGAGACTAGGGGGAGCGAAGAGACCCAGGCGAGGGCAGGTGGCTTCATCTGTCTGTGCCTCAGCTCCTGAACTATAAAATGGGCCGAAGACCTTCCAACCGCAGAACTGTTAGGAGGATTGTATATATATATATATATATATATATATACACACATGTATATATATGTATACACATGTATATACGTGTATATATGTATACATATGTATATACGTGTATATATGTATACATATGTATATATATATATGAAAGATTGTGAAGGGCTCTGCAGGCATTCAGCAGGTGAACAGTGGATTGCACACCCCATCAGACCCCAGGTCAAAAGGCACCTTAATGAACGATTCATCCCGGACCCACGTGATGCTCCGTTGCCTCTACAATGTCCATCTCATGTCCCAGGTGGGCTGAACACAGTGCCACTCCAGCAAAGGCACTTGTTCCCCACTGCCCTCATTCCACCTGCAGACTCCACAGTTAGAAAGTTCTTCCTTTGACTGAGCTGATACCTGCCTCCACATGATGTCCACATACCAGTCATGTCTACGTTTGGTCCACAGTGCCCTTCCCCATCAGGTCTGCTCTCTGACCTCAGGCTATGTTGCTAGGGATTCTTCGCTCTGCCGGAGATGACATCGCCCTTGCTTTGTTGTTTAGAAAGCCCTCAGGATGTCACCTGTCCCCTGACCTGCTTTGAAAGGGGGTTGGAGTTCTACACATCAGACTTGAGGGAATATCAGCTGGGGTCATCTCCGTGAACCCTCAGGCCACCTGGACGCAGTCCCCACCCTGCCATGCCTAGAGGCAGGATGTGAGACAGACAACTAAAGTAGGTGAAGAACTAAAAACTAGCCTGTCGGGATTTCTAAACACTTAACAGATTTCTGCTCCAGACTCTGAAGGCTTCCAGTGCAAATGTGAGCTGCCTCCCACTTGACCCCCACCCTGACTCTGCAGTCAACCTTCTGGCAGGAATCCTGTCCAACTACCCTAGCTGTGTGCCTTTGGGCAAGTTATTTCCCTCTCTGTTCTCTCAACAGTTATAAGGGACTAGCAATAATAGCTCTCTCATGGGGCTTGTTCTGAGCGTCCAATGCAGGTACCTATGTAGAACAGCGCCTAGCACAGACTGGCTGCGTGGGACAAGTTAGTGGTTACTATTCTCCTGGGTCTGTCTCCCTCAGGAGCAGTGGGCCCGGCATAGGGCAGGGGCTTGTTTTCCCAGCGAACACACAATCCTAACAGGCACCCCATGTAAGCACTTACTTTCTGCCACCTGTTTTGCATGCCTGCGAGTAACCTCATTACCGGCAGAAGAGGGAACTGCAGTGTGCAGAGGTTAGCTTGCTTGTCCAGCTAATACGGGGCTAAGGCTAAGACTCGAGCACGAAGGACCTCAGCCTGTGCTGTTACCAACTGTGCTGAGGATGACCGCACAGCAGGGAGACCGGGCTGCTTGCTCCTCACCCGCAGGAGGGTGCGGGACGACAAAGGGCTTGCACCCTAGCCCGGTGCCCTTGCTGACTGAAAGGGGAGGGTGCTGCCTCTGGGCGGGAAGGCCCTCGAATAGCTGGACTCAGGGGAAAGGGTGTGGGTGCACCGTGACCCCTGCCAATGGCAGGTGGGGGTGGCCGACTGCAGGCTGGTTTTTACCAGGCAGAAACATCAGGAGCCTAAGCCTGGAGGAAGGGGTACGGAGCTCAAATTCACCCTCCTCCAGGGCAGGATTCCCAGAGGCCGCCTTTTGAGTCTCCAGGCCTGGGGTGAGGTAGGGAGGGGTGAGGGGATGGACCTTTCCCATGGGCAGCTTCATTCTGGGCGCTGCGGACTCAAGTAGTTCATCTTCCTGGGACACAGAAGATAAGAAGATGCACCTGCAGGCAGGGCAGCTTGCGAGGGGTGGAGTTCAGGATGGGGACAAAGGGCAGCCGCCCCAAGGGGCCTCAGGGTGCAGGGCCCCTTGGTGATGGAGGAGAAGGGGCTCTGGAGCTGGGCAGCCCTGTGGTCAGCTTCCACTCTGCCACCTCCTGGCTGCCTGTCCCAAGGAAGGTCTCGTTTCTCCTCTGAGCTCAGTTTCCTCATCTGAGAAATGGGAGACTACTTTTGGAAGGCTGATCCCGACCATTTAAATAGGATGAAATAGATAAAGGGTTTGGTGTGGGGCAAGCATGCTGAAGCTCGGACCACTCTCCGATAGCTCAGGGGGCACTTACTACCTACAGGGCTGTGCCCGGGCCTCCTTCCTTCCCCCTCGCTGCCTGAAGCACACACCTGGCTTCTGGGCTTCTATTTCGAGCCCTCACAGAGCACCACTAAACACAGAAAACGCTTTGGTCCAAAAGAGGGCAGAGCTGACTCTTGTCTGTAGGGAAGATTAAACAGTCCTTCCAGCCAAGCCCAGTGAAAACGCCATGCCCCTGCTGGTAAACTGGGCCTGTCACGCTGGCAGGGAGGGTGGCAGCTCAGAAATCTAAGCCTCCTGACTTCAGGCTGGCCTGCAAGAAACCATCACCTCCTCTGACATGGCCTCTGTCCACCACTAACCCCGCATACCACCCCCAGCTTGCCCTGGGAACCCCAGGATGCCACAGCTCCCCACAGATGCCCTCCCCTCCCCTCCCCTCCCCTCCCCTCCCCTCCCTCCACTCAGGCCTCTGTCTTAAACAGTTTTTCTCCTTTCCTTCCCCTGGCTAACTTCTCTGCTTTCTGGTCTCCCTGGACAGCACCTCCTCCAGGAAGCCTTCCTGCTTCCTGTTCTGGGCTCTCATGGCTCCCAGGGTCCCCCTCCCCCACTTTACTGTGACTGCCCTGTCCTTGTTGGTCTTTCCCACTAGACCTTGAGTCCCTAAATCCAAACTGTGACCCCAGGCTCAGCACAGAGCCCAGCCTGGAGGTCTAGTGAACAAACTGAAAATGGCAAAATGCAACCTGCCAAGAAGATTCTTCTCATTGGAAATGTGGCGTCCCGAACAGAGCTGGAGAAGGCTTAGGAACTGCTGCTGTCCGTACGCTTGAAAGGGACGCCTCCCAATCCAGCCACTGGGCTCAAGGCAGGGTTTTCAAGGCAGGAAGTGAAGGGCAACGATAACCATGATCGCCAAAGCCTCGGGCATTGTGCCAAGACCACCTGCCCTATTCCATTTAATTATCGACAATTCCGAGGGAGCCGCCCCTAGAGTCCCCATTTCACAGTGAGCAAACTGAGGCACAGAGAGAGACCTCGCCTGAAGTCACTCCCCTGAGAAGTGGCTGAGCTGAGATTTGAAACCGGGCAGGCTGACTCCAAGATCTGTGTCCTGGACCCAGCACAGATCTCCCACTGCTGTAGACCAGCGAATGGTCTTATCACAACTCCTAACCACTGGAGCCCATGGGGCCCAACACACACACACGTGCACACACAACTGAATCAAAGTCTATGAAGCCAAAATACTCCTTACTACCTCAATGCGCTTGGTAGTTTATTTTTTATTCTATTCTACATTGTTAAAGATTTTTTAAAACGCTGGTCAGATGTGACCCCCAGGAGACAGACCACCTTATTTGGGGCACTGGGCACCCACCCCTCCCTCTCCGAGGCACAGGGTAGCAACACCTAGTGCGCTACAACCAGCCACTTGTCCTATTGTGTTAGTGTGGCCTGTTCCTCTTTCACTAGAGGCCGGCTCCGTGGGGGACCTCCAGGGGCCGTCCGTCCCACTCAAGCTGGAACCCCAGGGCCTGGGACATGACCGGTGCCTAACAGATGTCCGCTAAGCCAGTGAAGGTGCACACTCAGGAAGATGCAGAGCAGGACAGACCCAGAGTCCCTCCTGCCTGGGCACATGGTACTTAAGGAGAGATGTTGCCTCCCTGTAAAATGGGGTAACTGTAGCCCCTCTAAAGGGCTGTTACAGGGTCTAAAATAGATAATGTGGGCGAAGGCCCTGACTCAGAGCTTGGCACAGAACAAGGTCAACACACGTCCCTCACTCCAGGCTCCAGGATGCCTAACTATTGAACTAACACTAAAAAGGGCCATGGACTTGGTCAAGCATGGACCAACTTAATGATTAAACCCAACTGGCAGTTTGAATTCAGTCTCTTCTCCAACCAGAACTATGAGTGAGCTCCAGAGGCGCGCTGAAGGAGGGGCTGCAATGAACTGGTGGGAGAAGAAGGTGGGAGAGCCCCCCCGCCACCCTGGAATTGTAGCCTCCCCTCGCCCCACTCGTTTATACTTTTATTATTTTTCTTTACAAAACCAAGATTAAGGGAAGCGGAGTCCAGAGAAAAGGACCATGTGGTATTAGGAAGAAGACCGACCTGGGTCTTCTAAACCCAGCTTTGCCCCTGGCTAACTGTGTGAGTTGCATCCAGTGCTGGTAACCTCTCTGCCTCAGTCTCCTCATCTATAAAATGGAGAAGCAGGGCATCTTACTTTGCAGTGCTGAATGCGCAGTGCACACAGTAGGAACTTAGCAAATGTGAATGCCCTTCTTGATTCCTGGACAATTCTATTTCTAGGGCATTCATCTGAACATGCCCTTTGTGAAGACTAGCAAGGGGCTTCCCTACAGCAATCATAAAAGGACCTTCCCTTTCTTCGGCATGTCATCGTGGCACACCACAATCATATTCACGTTGGGGCCCCAACAAAGGTTATCTGAACCGTGGGTTGAGGTGATCCTGCATGTCAGAGGAAGAATGCAGCCCTTTGGGTCTAAGGAAACCTGGATTCCAGTCCTGGTTCTACCAACTGGATGAGCCATGTGAACTGGGATGCGTCATTTTCTCCCCCTGAGCCTTAGTTTCCTTATCTGTAGATGGAGATGATGATCTCCACCTTGCAGGGCTGTTGCAAGAATTAAATTCATAGATTCGCTCAACAGCTATTTACCGAATGGCTATGCACTAGCCACTGCTCCGGGTGCTGAATGTACGGCAGTACGTAAGCCAGACTAAACCCTCCCTGGGGAGACAGATGATTAAACAGCTACCTCCACATTGAGTGTGGCACATGGCGATCATGCCGTGTAGAAACACTAAGTGGGGGGAAGTGAGCGGGGGCACGCTGGGGGCGGGGGCAATGCCGGGACCCACAAAAAGCAGCAAGGGGGAAACCATGTGGAGAGCTGGGGGAAGGAGCCTCCAGGCAGAAGGCGCGGCAAGTGCAGGAGCCTTAAGGAGGAGCATGCTTGGCATGGAATCCAGGTGCTTAGCAAATGCCAGCTCTCTATTTCAAGTCCCCTAGAAGGAACCCCACGCATGTGTCCTTTTCCTGAGAAAGAAAGCACAAGGATTTCTACAGGGCAAGACTGCGCCAAGCTTTCTTTCAGCCTAGGATGCAGGCAGCATGTAAGCCCTACCACCGGCTTCTGAGCCCTTGCCAGCCGCCAGGCTCTGGCTTGGGCAACCAGGAGATGCACGATAACCCAGGCATGGTTTCTGTCCTCAGGTGGCCTCCAGGCAAGTTGTGGGGAGGGGCGACGGCAATGCAGTGTGGTCAGGTGTACAAGCAGAGACGCGAGAGGTATCTAAGAAGCCTCGCAAAGGGTGGGATTGGGTGTGGGTGTTCAAGGAGGGCTTCCTGGATGAGGTGACAACCAAGCTGAATTTTAGGAGCTGGACCAGCCAAGAAGGGATATTCCAAGAGTGGGGAGCAGCATGTACGGATCACAGAGTTGTAAAGAATGGCCCGGTGTGTGTGAGAAACTAATTACAGAACAGGTTGGAAAACGATTAATGGCCCTTCACATTCTTGGCACCAGCAGCCTGATGTGTCTCAGGAATTCCATTTCTAGCCCCTTCCTCAAGCTCCGTGCAAGCATCAGCCCCAGTGGAGAGTTTTAATTTTTCCACACTTAGCTACTGCAGCAGGTAACAACCGTAACCCCCCAGCTCCTTGCCCATTGTGGCCCAGTCCACAGAGCAAGAGCTCAGTGGGATGGAGAATATATAAATCTCAAGCTATTTTTAGCCTGCCTGGCTGTGTCTGACCCTTCACCCACCCTAAAGCTGACCCACAGGTGGCACAATGGTTTTTTGTTTTTTTGTTTTTTTTTTACTAGAATAGCATCACTATTTTTTTAAATTAAGAAATCCTACAGAGGGGCCCATGATGCAGCCAGGTGTCATCGTGGCCAGCAGAATATCTGCTGCCACATTTGTCAGCATCCCTGGGTACCTCCAGACTAGGTGGGTGGGCTCTTCCATCCCCTTCCAGCCAAAATCCCTACTCATAGGAGATGGAGGCCACCCGCCAGTAAGTGGACCTGGGTTCAAATCCCACCTCTGCCTCTTGCTAGCTAACGACCCTCTGCTGGTGACTTCACTGTCTGAAATTACAGAGGTTTTGAGAGCAGTGGCCCTAAAGCTGTCCAGAAGCTTATAAAGTAGGAGTTGGCTCTTCTTCCAAAAAGCAGCCTTGGGAATCCCAACCACAGCATCACCCATTTCAGTCCCCTCCAGGAAATGAAACAATTATTTTTTGATATAAAGCCTGGGGGGGGTGGTGCTATATGGGAGTGTTAGAGCACAGACCAGTGTGAGGTTTCTGCTCCTAAAACCTCACACTAAATTTGCCCCACAGCCAGCCGATTTGCTACCCCACTGAGCTGGGCCTTTGTACTTTAAAAATACACACATCTCCCACTTTCTGCCTAAAGGATGCTACCAATGCCCAGCCTTAAGCCAGAATAAAGACTCTTTCTGAAGACCTGGGGTGTGGGGGATGGCAAGGGAAGCAGACACGGGTCAATCCAGATCACCGCCTATTAGCGGTATGACCTTGGGTGAGTCATTTCTCCTCCAATGAGCCTCAATTTCCTTATTTGTAAATTTGGGATAAACATCTTTATAATGAAAAGCTACTTTGTATGCTGAGCTGGGGTATGCAAAGCGCTGGACACAGAGCCCCTGGCATAGTGGTCTGCTCCCTAAATTACCAGGTATTCTCTAGTAAGGCCTCCTCTGCTCCCCAACTCCCACCCTCGCACCCCACCCCCATCCCCTTACTCTGGCCCCGGAAATTCTAGGGTGATGTTAACTAGGGGGCGATGCGCTCTGCAGCGGTGACTCTGAGGGACTAGAGAGCCCCCAGCTGAGCGGACACCAGAGGGGGGCGCAGCCGGGGTGCGCGTGGGAACGTGGCCAAACCAAGGCAGCTTGTGCCGCGGGGGCGCTGGCGGCTGGAAATTGGGGTACCTCTGCAAGCGCCCCCCACTTTCAGCAGCTGCAGCCTCGGCACAACGGCTGGCTTCTGGCCGTCGGAAGCCCTGGGGAGCCCTACTCCAGTCACCCCCCACCCAGGGAGCCCCGGGCTCCCTCCTCCTCAGCGCCCTCGGGCTGAAACAAAGGCGAGGGGGCGCGCGGCATCGCCCCAGCGGCCCCCTTGCGCAGCCGGCCAAGCAGGGCGAACGAGGACTGGGGTCCCCAAGGTAACCAGGACGCGGTACCGGTCCTCCCGGAGCGCAGAACCCAGCCGAGGGGCGTGCGCTTAGCCGGGGTCCGGGAGGCACCAAAGGCTCCAGTCCGCTGCGCGCCGAGGGCTCCAAGGGGTGGGGTGGCTCTCCGGAAGTCACCCAGCGGGTCTCCTAGGGAGAAGAGAACCCCAGCGCCCGCCTCCCGGGCAGGGCTCCCCGGCGTACCTGGCAGGGTCCGGTGCACCGTGTTGCCCATCGCTGCGTCGGGGCCCTGCGCCGGCGGCGGCGCGCTCGGGGCGCACGGAGCCTAATAACGCGGTGGGCCTGGCACCCGGGCCGGGGTCGGGCTCCGGGGCATCGCGGCTGCACCGGCAAGCCGGCGGGCGGCAGCTGGGGCGGGCGCCTGAAGGGAGGCGGCGGCAGCGGGAGGAGGCGGAGCCAACCGGCCCGAGCCCGCCGGCTCCGCCTCCGCCTCCCACCGCCTCCAACCAAGCAGGGAGGGGCGGGGCCGCCGCCGCCGCATCTTTTGAAAGTTTGGACCCGGCGGCGGGGAGCGGAACCGCCGAGCCTCCCGCTCTCGCCGCTCCCGCGCCCTGGGCGGGAAGACGCGCTGGCAGCCGGGTGCCTTCGGGGTGCCAGGCTCGTCATCGGGCTGGCCTTTGGCTCATTTATTCCAACGCTTAGAAAAGGCCTAGTGTATACCAGGCCCCTTCCATGCGCCGGGCCGTAGGGAGTCAAGCTCTCACCCTGGCGGTGCACTAATGCGGGGTGCGGGGGGTGGGGAAGTACACGCAGGCAGGAGGTCGCTTAAGGCAGTGTAAAGATAATCCAGTCAGGGTGACTGCGGTGGGGGTAGGGTCACAGACCTACAAATAAGAGAAACCTAGGCAGTATCCAAAGGTTGGGAGGAGGGAACATATTAGAATACTTAGTAAGTATATGCCAGGCACCGTGCTGGGCACTATAGATACAAACAAGGCATGCACACGGTGAAAACAGAAATAACAAGCAATTCAGATCTCACAATATGATGATCAGAGTCGGCAGGAAAATAAGATAACAGTGATATTGTAACTTTGAGGGGCTCAGGGAACCTAGGGGCATGCTAGCTCCATCTGATGAAGCAGCAAGGATTCAGCCATGGGAAGAGCTGGGGACAGTGTTCTTGGCCGAGGGAGTAACAGGCAGTTCTCATTCATTCATTCATTCACTCCACAGGTATTTTCTGAGCAGATCTCCTTTGTAAGAACCCAGACCAAACTCAATGGGAAGTGAAGCCTGCTAGTTCCTGCCATCATTGGGCTCCACTTTGCAGACTGGAACACTGAGGCTCAGGAGGTGCACTGACTTAGCCAAGAAAACCCAATTCTAAACCAGGTTTTTGGTTGTTGTTGTTTTTTTTTCTCCCCAGCTCTACTTTCCATGCTCTCGTATCCTTTATGAAATATGTATTATTATCCCCACTTCACAGATAGGCAAACTGAGCCTCACGGAACAGAAAAGAGGTGCCCCAAATCTCCCAGCTGGCGAGGGGCAAAGCTGGCCTGGAGCTATGTGAATGAAATGGTATCCAGGAAAGAGCCTCCTGGGCCCTGTTTCTCCAGTGCCTACTGCCTAGGGTTCTCCTCCTTCTAGTTAGCTCAAAGCCTCCACCTCTGGGAAGCCTTCTCTGTACCCCACCCACATTGACTCATGTATGTCCGAACATAAGGTTGCCTTGTATTTGACTTACTAGTTTCTCATATTACAGGTGCTCTCTCAGTTACTTAATTTTTAGACACAAGTCCTGTGCCGGAAAGGTACATTAGTTCAAAACACCCTCAATCCATGCGGGTTTGGGATGCTTATAGAGGCCAGCTTTATTATAAAAGGAGTCAAGCAAATGTTACTCATGTAAAGCAGTGCTGTGCAAAGGGGACTTTGTGACTATAAAGGGAAGGTCACAAAGGGTAACTGTTAGGGAGGTTGGTGTAAACAGACCTTTTCTAGGTACTTTCAGAGCATCCAGCTAAGAGGCTGTGTTGTGCAGACCACGAATGCATAGCTACGGCAGATGAAGCCTCAGGTGCCCTAATGTTGTGCAGATGGTGCCTGTGGAGGGGACACAGTGTCCAGTGGCCACTGATATGTGAATCTAAAAGGGCTATGTTTTAGCATCTTGGTCCCTGTGAATGAGATGTGCTGTGGAAAGCTTAAAAAGCACTCTCCCCCCGCCCCCCCCCACACACACCAGGTGGATGGGGACACTGACATCAAAGCCACACATAAAGAATCTGAACCAAATAGCTTCTTGATATTTGAGAGTGGACAAAAGCCGTCTTTCCAAATTAATATTACATGTAACAATTATTGAAAATACGTATTTCGCACTAAAAAACTAATTATTGCAAGTAGACGTGTATTTCATCTCCACTCTTTAAAGTTTATATCGTTCACCTTTATTGCTCATCTTCTCACTGGCGGAAGAGGGGTTGTCTCTCACCTTTATTTGGGTTCCCTTATATTTGAATAAACTGGCTGCAGAGATGCATTGCCATGAACTGGGAGAAGAAAGGGAAGAAGAAGGGAAGGAAAGGAGGGAGGAAGGGGGAGGAAAGAGCTGGAATGGAATGAGAATTAGTGGATAGTAGCCCTGGACTCTGGCATGATCCATAGTGGTATGTGTGGGGAGAAACAGACAAAATAGGGATGCATTAACAGAAGTTGTAGTCTTTACAACAGAGGAGGGGCTTGCTGCTCCAGCTCATGCTGCTTAGACCATTTGAGGAGAAGGTGCTTTGACTCTGAGCACCAGACTTGAGTGGCAAGGCAAAGCTGATCCACAAAGATGGGGATGGTGGCTTTGTAAGGGAGAGAGATCCCTGTCACAGGAGGTGTGCAAAAGGAAGCAGGGGTTAGGGGAGCGTCCGTGGGCCTAGGGAGCAGCCTCTGGCCATAACCTCTCCCGGCTTTGAATTTCATGCCCCCCCTCAACCCTCTCCCTTAACCACGCCCAGAATCCCTCAGACTATGCCACCCTCCCTTAGCACCAAGACCTGTGCTTGGGCTGCAGGGGCCCCTGGGTGGGGCCAGCTCTCTGGATTGCCAAGTGTTGGCACAGTCTCCCAGGGCCGTGGGGAGAGGGATGGCCCTGGCCAGGCTGGCGGGCACTGTTCCCTCAGGGCATGTCCTGGCAGGCCCTGCCCCACGCAGTGGCAGGCAGTCAGGTGCACCTCGTAAAAAGGGCACACACACTGAGCTGGTGGGGGAGGAGCGTGTGTGTGCAAAGACCTCTTCTTCCAGGGAACGAGTGGTGTTTGCCTGCACCCTTCCCCGCAACTCACTCAAGAACAGAAAATCCAGGTTGCAAGCAAACCACAAAGCTGGGTTTTTTAATTGCTACGGGCAGGCTCCACTTTTTTGTAAACTCCGCCTAGCAAATCCTCAATTTCGAGACCCAGCAGGTCTTCACCCACGACAGCGAGGTTTTTTCCGTTCCCAGTTACAAAGCGCCTCCCGGGTAGTGGGCACCAGGCTGTGCCCTGGGAGCAGCCCTTCTCCCAATTGAACCGCGTGGTTAGTAACACAATTCCCATCTTGCAGGAGAGGACGCTGCGGCAAGAAGAGAGGAGGGAGCTGCCCGGTTCACATGCCCAGGGGGAGGCAGAACTCCGGAGGGTTCTCCGTTCTCCCTTTTTACCCAGGAGGAAACAGGCTCAGAGCACTGAAGCCACTCGGTGAGCAAGCGACGTTAGTGTGGAACCGAATCTGCTGCACATCCCCTGACAGCTAAGGCAGAAAGGCTAAGAGGCCCATCCCGTGGCCTTCCGCGTCCTGGTTTCTCCCTCACAGACGCACTTTGCGTGCTGGAGCGAGTGCCAAAGGAGAGTTCATCCTTGGTGCCTGGGAAGGCCGAGTGGGCGGAATCTTCCTCCCGAGTTTGCCCAGAGACACATCAACAACATTCTGATGGATGGATCCCATGCTGGCCATCAGAAAAGATCAAGGGCTGACAATCTCCTGGAATCCAACGGAAAAGTCTCTGTTAAGAGGCTGGGGTCACAGGCGCCCGGAACTCAGCTTTCTCCCAACCCTGGGACAGAGCTTAGACACTCTGAAACTCATGGTCATCAGGGCTGTGTCACAGAAGCCCCGCGGCAGGGGCTGAACTGAAATTAATTTATGAGCCCCATAACTTACATTTACTGTGCAGTTACAATGAAAATTATGACACAGTAATAGCTAACATTTATTGAGTGCCAGATGCGGTCCTAAGTCCTTTAGATGTATTAAGCTCACCGCAGCCCTAGGCAGTCGTGCTATTAAGAGGCCCATTTTATAGATGGGGAAGCCAAAGCTCATTGAGGGCGGGTAGCTTGGCCACCTCCGTACAGGCAGAGAGCAGTCTGAAATATGAGATTGGTTTACTTAACCTTCACAACAACCCTGTGAGCTAGGAAGGGAGTTAAGTGTTAAGGTGTTGCATTCCAGCCCTTGCATTGGTTGCTTTTTAAGATCTTCATCTCCATTCTGTGGGGCATGTTTTGAGACTCAGAGGGGTAAAGTGATTTGCCCAGGACTCACGGCCAAGAGGGCAGGGGACCCAGCCCACTCTGACCTCACCATCTGCGCACCCCTCCTCTTGGCCCCTGAGGTGGCTGAGAGCTTGCAGACCCCAGCCCATCCTACCTAGAGCGACGTGCTCCACTTCCGATCCATTTTCAGAGTCCAGTGCCCAGCCCTGGGTTGGCCCTGCGAGAGACTACCATTCCCTGCTGACTTCCTGGAAGTCAGTTTCAGAGAAAAACTGGAATAATGGATGGTGAAGCACTTAAGGGCCCAGGTTCAAATTCTAGCTTGGTCCTTCCTACCTAGGCCACCTTGGGAAGATTCTGTGGCCTCTCCGTGCCTCAGTTTCTGCATCTATAAAATGGAGCTAATAGTCTGTATTTCGTAGGGTATTCGGAAGAGTAGATGGTGTCCCTCAAAGTGGCCTGGCATATCGTAAGTGGTCAGGCTAGGGGTGAGCTTGGGAAGGGCTTGTCTTTCTCCCTGCTCTCCTGCTCCTGACCTCACCCATGCAGGCCCACAAGATGGTTGAAGCCCTTCTCTGCCTCAAACCCTTTCTACTGCAGAAAGGGCCAGAGCAGGCTGAGCTCAAGTCCTGGTTCTGCCTCTTCCTGGCTGGGTGACTCTAGGCAGGTTGCTTCAGTCCCCTGGAGCTTCACCTCCTTCTCTGTAAAGTGGAGAGATCATCTGCAAGCAGGCCAGACCTGGTGCACTGCGTCCTGGCCTAAGCTGCCGGCCACGCTGAGCCTCGCATCTCGCTGGCTGTGTGTCTTTGCCGTGACTGAACCTCTCTGAACATCACTCGCCTGATCTCTAAAGCAGGGGGTGGTAA